ATCTACAGTGAACTCTAGTAGTCTCATTATATGGAATCAAAAACTTCCCACTGTCACTGTTTCCTTATCTTGAAAACACAGAACAGTTAATTCTTTGTCACATGACAGCTATATACATATATAGAGATATGTATGTATGTGATTCAGAACATATCTCTCTGATTCTTCTTTTCTCCAGATTAAATCTTTCCAAACACTGCAGCTCTGTCTCAAGGATATTGTGTCCTCATTGTCTTCTAAATTTTCTCTAAAATTATGCATTTGCCTCTTGAAATATGTCCAGAGCTAAACACATTATAACTGGGGAGGTCTGATCACAATAGAGCAGTTCTACAGTCATCTGAACTCTTTGATTGCAAATACTTATAAATAAATTACCAGTTTATTCACATTCAAAAATGATATTTGATTATAAATGAGTATATGGATATTCATATCATAATTTTTTTCCTAATAACTTTTATTTGTTATTCTTCACAACAGCATTCTTGAAGTTTTGTACTCCTAGCTGAAAAAAAAATGCCTACAGGTCTCATTTTTACAAATTATGAATGATATTAAAGCTAATTATGCATACCACTGCAAATGAAATACCTACTGCATTGTAGTTACATTTTATATAGTCTCTTGGTTACTCTATGATTCCTTAGAAATTTAAATCAGGAATTGTCATGAAGCTTGATAAGATTTTCTATTTATGGTCAGTGTCATATATCCACACAGTATCTATAGATTTATACATTTTGTGAGAAAGATCCTGGGCTAATCTTCCATGGTGTGGAAGATATTGACATTCTCTAAAATGCAACAAATAAGCCTTATTTCCAGTGTTCACAGAGCAAAACTGAGAACCTTGCATGGATTTAGTTGATGCTGCAGTGGTGATAAGAGAGATTATTTCTTTGGTCCCACATTTGGTAGTTCTCTTATTACAAAACATTTCTTTATTGTATTTAATTTTTCCTTCAAAAAATGTTGTACAGCTAAAAGTAGTGATTTGATTAAGATATTAAACTGGGGAATAAAGGGGACTTAATTATACATAGACAAAGAAACTAAGTCTAGAGATATACTACATGGACACTAAGCCTAGAGAAAATGTCCTAATACTGTAAGGAACCAGGCTGATTCAAAATTAAATTCTAAGCCATATCCTGGAAAAATTGAGCTTTCGAGCTAGACCATGCACATTTAGTTCATTCTTGCTACATATTATATTCCATTGCCCTGGTTTTTGTTCCATATTATTTTACTGTCTTACATTCATAGATCAATCAGTCTTTCTAGTTCTTTTTCTTTTTTATCTCTTGTCTCATAATATAGCCAAATGCCTTTGTGGGTGGATGGAGGCAGGAAAAGAGAATAAAACAAAATAAATGATACTCATTAGAACCATTATAGGCCCTCATTAGTCATATTATTTATGCCTCTTAAGGGTGTCTTTGTATATATAACCCCAAACACATATTTACTTTAGAAAATATATCAGTATTTATTCAGTCAAACCAATTTGTCTGGTGTCACATAAACAAATAGAACATCTTGTTTTATACTTTAAAAATAATTTTAAGTGTCTTGTTGAAGTCACATTAGTTTCCTAATTCACCACTCTTTATGACTTTGTCCCACATCATAAGAGGCTGTGAATCTACCATAGTAGATGATATAACCGACACTGTTCTCACCTTCTTATAGATGAGCAATCCAAACAAACCAAAATCTATCATTGATTGTTTTTTCTGTCACCTCACAGATAGATAAATTTCACAGATGATAAGTTTCTGTTACAAGGGTTTTTCTTTCTTACTCCTAAAGCTTCAGTACCTTTGTCAAAATAATGTCTCCCACCACATATCTACAACCAATTGAACTTCAATAAAATTGACAAAAATAAACAATGGAGAAAAGACACCATATTTAATAAATGGTACTGGGAAAACTGGCTAGACAAAGGTAGAAAAATGAAAATAAACCCTATCTTTCACCGTATACAAAAATTAACTCAAGATGGATTAAGACCTAAGTATAAGGCCTGGAACTATATAAGTCCCAGAAGAAAACTTGAGAAAAGTCTTCTGGACATCAGCCTAGGCAAAGTGTTAATGACAAAGACCCCAAAAGCAAATACGGCAAAAATTAAAAATAGACAAATAGGATCTAATTGAACTAAAATGTTTCTCCATGGTAAAATAATAATCAACAGAACAAACAGAAAACCTACAGGATGGGAGAAAATATGTACAAATTATGCCCCCAACAAAATATTAATATCCAAAATCTACAAGGAATTCAAACAACTCAAGAAAAAAAATAACTCCATTAAAAACTGGGCCAAGTATATGAACGGGCATTTCTCTAAAGAAGAAATACAAGCAGCCAATATATGACAAAATGCTCAACATCACTAATTATCAGAAAAATGCAAATGAAAACCACACTGAGATATCATCTCAAATTAGTCAAAATGGCATTTATTTAAAAGCAAAAGCAGACATGTTGAGATGGATGAAGAGAAAAGAGCATGCTCACGTATTATTTGTAGGAATGTAAATTAGTTCAGCCTCTATGGAAAACAGTATGGAGATATCTCAAACAACTAAAAAGAGAATCACCAATCAACCCAGCAATTCCACTACTGGGTATCCATGCAAAGGAAAAGAACTCATATGAAAAATACACCTGCTCTCACATATTTATTGCAGCACTATTTACATTAGTAAAGTCATGGAGCCAACCTAAATGTTAAGCAGTGGTTGTTTGGGGAAAGAAAATGTGGTATATACACCATGGAATAATACACAGTGATTAAAAAAAATGAAATCATGTCCTCTGCAGCAACATGGATGGAGCTGGAGGCCATTATCCTAAGTGAACAACTAACAGAGGCAGAAAGTAAAATATCACATGGTCTCACTTCTAAGTGGAAGCTAAACAAATGGTACACACGAACATAAAGATGGAGAAAATAGACTCTGTAGACTCCAAAGGGGGTGGAATGAAGGTTGAAAAATTACCTACTGGGTACAATGTCCAATATTTGGGTGATGAGTTCACTGGAAGCCCAAACCGCACTGTTATACATCTAATACCCTTGTAACAAACAAACACATGTACCTCCAAATCTAAAATTTTAAAAGATAATGTCTCCCACATGATTTGAAAGGCTAAACTTGTGGAATTGTTTGTATGTCTGAATTATAGGGTAATTTAGAGCTTTCAGTTTCACCATATGCCCCTTGACCAAATATATCTGCTCTCTCTCAATTCTCCAGGCCACAAAGAAAACAGCTAAAGCTAAATAAATGGAAAACTTTTTCTTTACTTTGATAGTTGTGGCCCATGAATAATCTGCATTTTGTTATACAATATTATTGATTTTAAAGCTAGAATGAACAAATTTAAAACTCTGTTGGTTTGATTAATGCAATCTAACAAAGATTAATGGTTGTTAGGCGCAAGGCATTAAGTACTAGGACACACAAAAAAATATGACTTTCTTCTGAGAGTGAATTTACCCATGGAAGGATAACACTCTACTGCCATTGAGGGGATATAAACCTCTGCTTTTTATGATATAGTACATACTCCAAACCTTTTTTGGTGGAAAGAAAGACATTGACAATTTTCTGACCTACTAGTATTAGACAAAAGAATATATAAAATATGACATCGTTCCTTTATCCTAGTTTACTCTTCTATTTTCCATGTTTTTAGTTTGTTTTATACTGGTATCAATTGAGCTAAACTTGGCATTCTATGTAGTAAGCATGTGCTTTAGAGTATTGGTTTAGAGGAGAGAGTAAATGGGAAGGGGAGAAATAAATAGAAAAACATAAAAAATTTTATCAAGATATTCGTAAATATTGATGTTTCACCTTTTTTTCACAAAAAGCTTAGAATAAGGCAAATGTAGCAAATGCTGTAGGAGAGGAAGAAAGCATGTGCTGTGCAAGCACTAAAAACGGCGAGATTAATTTCAGCTAAAGGAAATTTATGTGAATAAAACACTTGTTCTAAGCACTCTAAGTCTAATAAACTAGAGTGCCATCAGGTTGCCTTTCTAGACTTTACGTCATACCGAACGTGCTGCTGAGTAAACGATTTTAATCTGTAGAGGGATCCACAAGAGCATTCATCTTGCCCCTAAAAATACTTTTTTTCCTTTTTATGTAGATATATTAGACAAGGATTAGGTTCTTTCAGTGGGCAAGTAGGATGAGTACTCTATATGTAATGGCCATTTAGCAATGATGAATACAAGACCAGGTAACTTTAATTTCATTTAATATAAGGTAAGCACATGTATGTATTATAAATACTTCCATACTATTTTAAAGACTAAAAATCAGTCTTTCTTATTTTATGTAAATATAAGAATTAGGTTGTTCTGGCAGTGTTATTGTTTGAAGATCTGGGCTTCTGAATGTTGTTTCAGCTCTTGTTGATTTTGAATGGTTATCTATCATACCATCAATTTTAATTTTTAATGAATTAAAATTGGTTAGTTAATATAACTTCCTTACAATGTATTCTGTGACTATTATATTGAAGGTGTTTGAAGCTTAATTTCTATAATTATAAGAATTGTATTTCTAATAATTAAAACCAAGCAATGTCCATGCTATAACCTCAATAATTGTCTTCTCTGCCCACATCTTCAAATAAAGCCGGGAGAAACAAACTGGACCCATTTTATAGATGCTGCCCAATGTTGACACAACACAGGTCCCAAACAGATTTGCAAGTAGCATCATTAGTCACTGTCTATTTTGCTCTCCTACAAGCACTATATAACAAAACCACTTTATATAACTTTTCAACTGCCAGTTTTTACCTTAGTGGGATTTTTTTAAAATTGAGCTATGCATGTATTTGTATGTACAGGTTAAATTTCCAATTGTTATGTATAATTAAGCTGCACGCTTACAAAATATAAAAAGTCTTTGTATCTTAGTACATTATAAAATTGTAAGGTCCTCTTCAATTTTTGTTTTTTTCAGAAATGAGGTCTTGCTATGTTGCCCAAGCTGGAGTACAGTTAGCAGGCATGATGATAATGCACTACAACCTTGAACTCCTGGGTCCAAGTGATCCATCTGCCTTAGCCTCCTGAGTAGCTGGGACTACAGGTATGCTCTACTATGGCCAGCTAAAATTATAAAGTTGTCTTTTTATAGTAATTCATACATAATTATCAGAACCATTCACTTTTCTCTTTTCCCATTATGACTTCTGGACTTTTGCTAGACATATAACATTGAGACATAATTCATACTTTGCTTTTAGTATGAAGTTATAATTTTTAAAAGGTAAAAATACAAATAAATAGTTTTAACATTTCTAACACAGTGATGACTTTTTCTAGTTAAAAAATACCTGAAAAAAGGTAATTATTAAGTATATTTAGGTCTCTTTTATCATATGCTAATTATAACAATAATATATATTTTAATCATAACATACATGTTGTGACAGATGTAGGTGACACAGATATGTATTTTCCTTAGGTCCCTTTAACCTATGACTCTGTATAGATTAAAATACATGGCTTCCAAAGTTGAATGAAATGATCTATTTTTTACCTTGAGCCTGGACATTGCTTGGAGGTAGACCAAAATAGATATGGAATAATGATGCTACTTGCAAATCTGTCTGGAAAATCGTGTGTTATGTCAATGTTAATATTTATAAAACTGGTCCAGGCTGTCCTCAAACTTTGTCTACAGGCTCCTTAACTGTACCAGTAAGGCACACAAATCATAAAGAAAGTAATATGACAATTAATATGATTAAAGGCTCTGAATTAACGGATTAATTTTTTAAAACTGACTTGAATGGAAATAGCTTCAGTATCATTAAATGGCAGGTAACATTTATTGAGAATGAACTGGCATTTGTTCTAGGGACTTTATATGTGTTAACTCTCATAACAATCCTATAAAGTAGATGTGATTTTTATCTACATTTTACAGATGAGAAAAATGAACATAGAGAGTTTCAATACTTGCTCAAAGTCTCAGAGCTTGGATTTGAATGGAAACCAGGTGGCTTCAGAGATAGTCTGTACCTTTATATTTTACAAAGTAACCCATTATTTTATGCATATGAGAAAAAATATATATATATATGTTCAAATCCAGTGTTTTCACTTAGTAAGAAAGAAATATAATTCTGCAACTTACTGCTATAGTTAAAATTTTCACAAAAAAGAATCACTTTAAAGTTTCTTTACCCACTGAGGAAAGAAAAACCCCAATACATAGTCATTTTCAACTCTTTCCAGTGCTACATAATTTCTAGAATTAAGACCTGTTGGTGACTTTTTTTATGGTGACAGTGATGTGAGAATAGAGACTTGGGGAATTGGCTCAAAGATTAGAGAGTCCCATGTTTTGCATCTCCAGCTTCATCAGACTCCTGGTTATGTGAAACACATTTACTTCGATTTGAAATAGAATAAATTTATATTTTCTTTTTTACAAAGCAAAGATACACCTATGCTCAAATCTTTTGAGTAAATAGAAGGAACTCCCCATATGAACTATTGTTGGGGTCAACCTAACTTATAGCTTTAATTGTCTACTGAAAAAAATTCATAGATACTGTAACCTGTTGCTGCCCTAGGGATTATCTACAGCAGATACACTGAAAATACAGAATGAATGAGAATTAAAACACCCTCATAGCAGACTAGAATCTTTAGACTCATAAGTAATTTCTTTGATGATATTTACTTAGTTACTGTTCTTACTGAATCTGCTCTTGAAATGATCTATGTTCAGAACAATTAATTTTGGCCTATTTGAATATATAGAAGGTAACTAAGGAAAAGAAAGCAAAATGGCAACCTGATCATTATGCCTGTATTATTTTCTTTGATGAAAAGTGAAAACGTAACTTAATCACACAATCACTTGGAATTTTCTATACATAGGGGAAGCATTAGACTGAAAGTTCTGAAATGCATATGGTGCTGACTGACTCTAAAGCCCTGATTTGTGGTGGTTGCCAGTTTTTATTGTTTAAATATTCCCACAATGGGCTGATTTTAAGCAACCAATGGTTTAACTGTCTCAAAAAAAAATCTGAGAATTTAGTAACCAGTTCTCCCATACAGCTGAATTTATAATTCTGTGACTTATTTACTTTGTCCCAATGATGATGGATGCAATACATTGATTGCATTAATGGCCCCAATTCTTTATACCCCATATATCCATATTCTGTAGCATTTAAGTCTGTAGAATCTTCCCACTGATTTTCTGGTCCCGGCCAAGTGACTTGCTTTGACCAGTGGGATGTTAGCAGACATAACACAAGTGAAAGGTTGAAAAAGAGCCTCCATATTTGTATTCTTTCTTTTGACTTTTGACATTACCATGAGAACATATCTGGGCAAGCAGACCCAAGTTGTCCCTATCATTACAACTAATACCATCATAAATTGGTTGACAGCAAACTAATTCTAAGACATGTCAGTGAGCAAAGTCAGGATCAGTAGTTCTATCTATCTGACCTACTGCTGAGTGCAGATGCATAACCTAGCTCAGGTAAAGTCGGCCAAGCCCAGCCTATGTAGAGTGTGCCACACGTGTGAGGTAAATGCACTTTTAAAATTATATTCATTGTAGTGTTGTGGTTGTTTGTTATGTAAGATTATTTTGTCAATGGATAACTGAGACAATGATGGTATTATCTGGGAAGTTTTAATTGGCATGAAAAGAATTTATACAATGTGCAATTTTTACATATATATAAAAGAATACATATATATGTAAGTATATATGTGAAAGTATACATATACAAGTGTGTGTGTGTGTGTGTGTGTGTATATATATATATATATATATATACTTAATTTGTACAATAGCCCTGAAAACTAGTTATCTACAACTTAAACATTACAAAATTTAGGAAGAGAGAAGTTAAGTAAATTTCTCAAGGCTGTCACCTATAAGTGGTAGATCTTGGATTCAAATCCAGGCTTGACTGACTCTAAAGTCCCTAACTTTCCGTATATACATACATATTTAATTTGTACAATAAACATATACAAATTAGTTTGTATGGGTTGATACATAATTTGTACAATAAATATATACAAATTATGTATGTATATAATGTGTATATATAGTTAACATATATTTAAATATATAATCAGATTTTATATATATGCACACACACACACACACACACGTAATCAGATTAAGAACACAGATCTGGAACCAGACTGCTTTTGGTTGATTCCAAGCTGTACCATTTTAATATTTCAAAGAACTTAGAATTGTATATTTTCTACATATAGCATATGTTTAAGAGCTATCTATACTAGAATTTGATGAATAAAATAAAGCTCCTGAAACACAGTAAGTATTCATTAAATAGTAAGTAGCATGTGATATAGCTATTTGTTTACTTAGAGAAAATGAGATTGATATTCTAGTAAAATTAACTAAACCACTTAATTATTTTTTAATGTTAACAGAGATTATCTGGGAGGGAAGCAGAGTGGCCAGGCAATGTTAAGAAAATGTTTTGTGAGGAGTCTCTTTAATCTCCAGAAAACAAGCCCATCAATTTATTACTCTAATAACCTGGAATTTCAGCTTGAAACTCATAGGTATAAATTTGAGGGATCTTTTTAAATTGTTAGCAGGATATTATGTTTTTGCTTTTCTATTCAAAGTGTTTATGCAAGCAAGCTTTATTGCTAGGGAAAAAAAACGGAAATGTCTGCCAACACTCTGGTTTATGTGTCAGAATAGAGGCTGCTTGGATAATACCCCAAAAATCAGACAGCAAGTCAGAAAAAAAAGGAGACAAAAGGCAATCAAAACCAGCACCAAGAGGTTCACAGGAAGTAGGACCTGTCCTAGAGTAGAAAAAGGAGGAGAAATTCTTTACTAAATTGTGAATTTGTTCATTCTGAAGATGACTCAATATTTCTTCAGAGACTAAGACAAGGAGATGATGATCTCCTTGGTGTTTGCTGTAAAGTTACCACTTTCAGTAGGAACAGAAAAATAGAGTAATTTGTGGCTCTTTAATGAGGAGTGGAGTGTGGTCTTAGACATGAATAACCTGAAATTGAATTGCCATTTGGAATGTGTGCTTTCTTCCTGGCATGAGTACCTGAGATACATCAGCAAGTTTGCCAAGCTACATTAAACCTATCAACTCTTCCATGGAGGCAGATTTACATAGGAGGAATGAGAGAACAAGAAGAGACCTCAAGCATAGTTTTAATGACTTGGAGTTCTGGGAGGGAAATTGGAAGACTAAGGGGGACATTGAAGGATTTAGATTTTGACTTGAAGGTTGTGACTTTGGCACAAAAAAGCAGGATACAAAAGTAAAAACTGCCTGTGCAGATAGTATTAGAAAACAGGTTTTTATTTCTTCATGGTGGTTTATTATGCTAATATGATTGATTCTTGGTAAAGCATGAACTTGTAAGTATAATGAAAGACCAAGAAAAATATGCATTTTTAAAAAAGATCTAATTAAATCAAATTTAAAGAAGAAATGAATGAAGAAGAAAATGACAAACTCAGACACTTTAGAAGATATCAAGGAAAAACTATTATATTGCATCTCTAGTAATTCTTGAGAGAAAACAGCAGAGATGAGAATCAAAACCAAAGCTAGGTTAGCATGTAACATGTTATCTGACATAGGTACTTGGTAACAATAGATTGGATAAAAGTACACACAGGGGTTAAAGAGAACCTCTAAAATACTGCTCTTTTAAAAAGCCAGTTAAAACACTAAAAGTATTAAACTAAAGAGGGAAAAATCGTCTTCTAAATACCAAGATTTGGAGAGTTGAGCTTTTGGCTGAAAAATGAAAAGTATTGGGAAAGACAACTGCTATGGGCCATGAGGGTTCCTGCATTTTCTTGCTTGATATGCCAAGAATGTAAGACTCTAACCTCATTTTGCCCAGGCCATGTCTCAGTATTGTGGTTGAAGTGAGCAACCTTGAAGGAAGAGGTGATATTTTTTCCCAAAGAGCAGAAGATTTACTTCTCCCTACTCTAAAAGTAGGAAATTGGCCAGGTGTGGTGGCTCATGCGTGTAATCCCAGCACTTTGAGAGGCCAAGACAGGTGGATCACGAAGTCAGGAGT